CTGCTGGGCAACTGAGGATACAGGTGATTCCACTGGAGAACCATGGCACTAGCGGACCTCTGAGGTCCTTTCTGACCTAAAAGTTGTTGCTACTCTAGGAAGATGCTTAAAATGTCACTCCTTCTGACCCCTCACCCCCATCTGTTACTTTATTCCTAGAAATGGAACAGTCAGGTAGAATTAAATCACATGCCGGTGATCTTTCCTTTGAAGTCACTATTGCATCACCCATGATAACCACAGAAAAGAAAAAGCAGACCTGAAAAACCTTACTGAGTTTATGGCTTGTTTCTTTTCCACCCCAAGACAATGATCTATATTGTTTACTAAAGAATAGCCAGGGGTGAAAATCCAGTTTAGAAGCAGGGGGCAATGCTTGAGTGGATGACCACCTTACTGAAATTCTGGAAGACCGGTCGATTTGGAAGTTCAGCACTCTGGTGGGGAACCCAGTGAATTATCGTCTGATCTAAAAGTTTATGTTGTATATGGTATGAGCTACTGGAACTTACCTTTTTGTAGTCTACCACCACTATTTACTGTTATGGTTTTGTTGAGCAGTGAAGGCAGCAAAAATACAAGTTACCCAGTTCTGTGTATGAACCATTACTGAGGCCAGAACACAGGGCCTGGGTTTTCCCAGAAAGTTTGATTTCATTCTATTAGATTTTTATCCAGTTGTCATGGAAATAACCACATTTAGGCATCGAAACTATATCATCAGGACTACCTCTCATATCCAGAAATTAACTTCAAACCTTTGGTCAGACCATGTGTTGCAATTTTGACCTAAACTATACTGTTGCTGTACTTAATTCTCCTGGCATCACAGAGTCAGCTGAAATAAACATCCCTGTAGGAGGCTGGTGGTCCTATGCCTGTTTCCATACATGTTCTGTCAAAGCAGGGGAATTTTGACTTGAATTACTTACTCCATTCCAAATCCAAATTGGCAATGCCAGTCAAATAAATCGGGCAAAGTATGATGGATGGTGAGATGGATAAATGAACAGTAAGGGCTTCAGAGAAACCACCAAATTTATCTTATTTAATACTTCGTGACAAAGACAGTTTAAAGTAAAGTGTGATGTGGTTCAATCTGATGCTCTTTATCTTTTATTGACACAGTCAGGTAAAATAGTGACATAAAGAAGAGTTTTAAAAGAAAATCTGCATATGATAACGTTAAAAAACTTTAAAAAGAACATAATCTGAGAATCAGTGGAGTGCTGATACCTCCTGTTCTCGCTAGGCACACATGAGGATGTGGTTGGTGGAGTGAGACTGCTGGCGTGGGAGTCCTAAGTCTACCACCCATCAGTTGTGCGGTGACCTTGGACACATTTTAACCTCTCTTTTCTTTTCTGCAAGATGGGTATAACAACAGTACCTGTCTTTAGGGCTGTTGTAAGAATGAAACTCATTGTTACATACCAAATGCTTGGAATAGTACCTGGCAGGCAGGAAGGCATTTAATAAACATTAGCTATTATGACTTGTTTCCACAAGTTTTTCCACAAGGTTTTTTTCTATTTTCATAGAATGCAGGCTAACATTTGAATTCAAAAGCGACTATTATAATACTACAGTGATGGATGTATGTATAACATGAGGCTTAAAACTCAGTGATGTCTTTCTGCTTCTTTCATTGCTTTTAGGAGGCCATGTGAAGGGGTGGAAAAGAAACGTTAGTCCTGGGAGAACACCAAAAGCCACATGCTCTGCAGGGAATGCTTTTGTTTCCCTCAAGGCACCTTGGGCCCCACTTGTTCTAACCTCACATTCCCATCTTCCATCTGCCTGAGAATTCACAATCATCACAATGTTAGACCCATAAGATCTCACAACATCATAACCTAAGACTGAAAAGGACCTGAGTGATCAGTCATTTAGACCCCCTCCCCAATTTTTGCCACAATAAAATGAGGGGTGGTGGTCACTGAATGACTTGACCATGGCTACACAGTCTGTGTGAGACCAGACCAAGTCCCCTCACCCCCACTTCTGGAACCCTGGTCTGGGGCTGTTTCTCATACCCTTTGTTGTATGTTTCATCCCCACTGGCACCTTGCATAGTATTATCTACACATTTGATATTAAAAAAAAATATTCCTTCAATGAGAGAGTGAAACCAACCTTAACTATTTGTTTTCAAAGTATTTTGGGGTTCCTTTTGTGATATTTGGGGAAAGGGAATGGATCACCTTCTCAGACACTTTCCCCTCCAAGTTACTTCCCAGTTCATATCTCATGGAGTATCCATAGGAAAACGAATCCCCATCCTCGTTTTTACCACATTCCTTTCCATTTTTATTTATTTATTTATTTATTTTTACATGGGCCATTTTTTAAAAGTCTTTATTGAATTTGTTACAATATTGCTTCTGTTTTATTTTTTTTTATTTTTTATTTTTTTGCCCTGAGGCATGTGCGATCTTAGCTCCCAGACCAGGGATTGAACCCACACCCCCTGCGTTGGAAGGCAAAGTCTTAACTACTGGACCGCCAGGGAAGTACCCCCTACATTCCTTTTCAAAATGCCAATACCACTGTTAGGACTCATGTCCTCATTTTTTCCTTCTACATCTAACTTAAGGTATTCCTAGAATCATAGCGATGAAAGCAAGTGTGACCTGTTCATTTAGTTCACTCCCCAGCCTGCACCTGGGCAGGCAGGACAGGCCAGGATTCAGCCTGTGAGGGAATGTACATCATCACGCAGAAGAAAGAGGAGGTGCTAGCTAGAGCCTGGCATCTGCATTAGGCTTCCGTCTCCTGCGTTGTTTCTTCTCCCTCTTTCCCTCCAATCCTGCTACACTCTCTATGAAGCCTTGCCCAAGCCCTCCCTTCCTTAGAATTCTCTTCTTCCTTTAAAAATTGTTGTAGCATTTTAATTATGGCTTTTATTACATATTATCAATCACTTTGAAATTAATTGTGTTTAGCTATCCAAGCAACATACAAATTAATCCAAGTTGTAAAATTTCAAATATTGTAACAATGGTTACGGATGGGTATGATTAATATGACTAAACTCCTCCACAATGCCTTTAATTCTTGTCTTTTAGTGGGTGTATCGTTCTACACCTTTCCTATCCATTTATGTATGTATTTTTACTTATACAAATTCATGGTTTTATTTTGCTTTTATGAAAGTGGTACCATTCAATATATATTGTTTTGCAATTTGCTTTTTCTATTAATAATAGGTCTCAATGACCTTTCTGTCTCAGTATATATAGGACTACTTCATTCTTTTAACTGTTTCCTAATTTCCAAGAAGATGTACAGAGTTTATTCAGCCATTCTCTACTGATGGCCGTTAGGTTTTTTCAATTTCAAAATTACCAAAACTCTGCCATGGAAGGGAATAACATAATATGTGTACACGCCTGCCTGCTTCTCTCTGATATATGCTGAGAAATGGAATTGCTGGGTCATAGAATGTGCACATTATTAATTTTAACACTGCCAAACTGCCCTCCAAATAGGCTGTATCAATTTATACACCTGTCAGCAGTATATAAAAGTGCCCATTTTCCCATTAGTTTGCCAATCTTAATCTCCTTTCCCCTTCTTTTACCTTCAAATATAGTTTATTTCCTAGGTTTGGGGGTATAAATGCTCTGAAAGCAGGGTCTAGGATCTCCTCATATTTGGAATTCTTCCCCCATCCAGTAGGGTTTAATAACTGGTACTTCACAAATGCTTGTTGAATGCTCTCTAACCATAAGTTTTCTGTTCACCTCTGGGCAATACACACTTTTCAAAAGCATTTACCAAGTTAGCATCTAACTTTGAGAATGAAAAAAGTTCTAAGAAAGTTGGTTGATTTTTTTTTTTTTTTTTTGCACATACCTCCTCCCTGAACAAGTTACAGATCTCTTTCATTTAAAGTTGTCTAAGACAGGCTTCTCTCCTGCCTTGCTGGCAGGAAGCAGTGAAAACAGACCTGGTTATCTCAGACAATAGCTAGCAGGGTGTCCCACCCGCTGGGAAACAGCAGACCAAAGGCGCCTCAAAACCCCTGGGAACTAGACAAGATGGAATGGTGAGGGAGCAGGGTCGCAGTCTTTGGAACATTCTGGATCCAAGAAGGTAAATTCTTTTATAGGGTTTTGAAATAGAGGAAACCATTAATAATGTCCAAAGTGTGGCAGTAAATGGATCTGGGTGAGGAGGAACTGTGACAGGGTAGGAAAAACCAGAGTGAGAACTGGGCATATTTTTAAAGGAAATGTGGATACAGGAAATAAGGGTAATAAAGGTGTGAATTACGTGATTCAAGAGAAACTTCCTTCCAAGCAGTGCCTATATTTATTTATATGATAATCTTGAGCTAAAGCAATTCTAAAAATCGACTAGTGAAGTTCCAAATCTTGATGTTCTGAACATTAATTTGAAAATAAGAAGAGTTTTCCAAAGGGTTAAGAGATAGCTTTCAGCTAAATGTGAACTCATTGAGAATCACATGTAACTTGGTTTGTGTTTCACAAAGGAACTGCTCCTAAATAAGAAACAACATAAAAGAAGACACATGTTCGCTCTTAATAGTGTTTCTTTTTCTCTCACCTAATGAAGCGTTTCAATTGCAACTGTGCAGCCCAGTGAGGGTACAATTGCATTTTGACACAAAAACAAATGAAAAAAAATGAGGAAGTCGTTTGCTGTGCTGGACCGATTGGGGAATGGGTCCCTGAGGTCTCAGGGGTCTTAGACCTAGGCCAGGTTTTGAATTCCCCTGGGCTGAAAAAAGGCTGGAAAGGCTAATACTTTAGTTCATTAGCGCTGTTGGAAAACCCAAACTGCCCTTAGTTTATCATCAGGGCCTCGGGGCTGTGGTCGCTGATGCTCCCCCTTAAAATACACAGGGACCCGCGCTGTGGTTTCTCAGCCTATCCTCGTCATTTCATCCCTTCGCCCACCCTGGGGCCAGTGCCAATAAACCCAGCAGTGACCAGGCCTAACTCAAGTCCGCGGCGGCCCATTTCAGGCCAGGAATGATCAGGGTCTGGAAACGCCTGGAACAGGAGGCGCTTTTGGCCCTTCAGAGGTTCAGTGCCCTTCTGGCCGTTGTTGTGTGGAACAAAGAGGGCAGGAGCGGAGGGCGCCCCCAGGAGGAAAGGTGGGAAAGGACACCCGCGGGCGGAATTCCGGAGGCGGGCGAGGCTGGAACTAGGGTGCTCCTGGAGAGCGGGCTGGGCGCCCGGGGAGGCAGGGCTGGTCCCCGCCCCGCGCGCGATTCGCTCCGCATCTGGCGCCCGGCGCAGCCCTTTCCTGAGTCGTAGACACTTTACTTTTATTCCTTTCACCCTAAATATTATTATTATTATTATTATTTTCCCGCGCAAAGAGGGAACCTGGGACTGCCCAAGCGAGCGGCGGAGGGGCCGCCATTTCCCGGGGAAAGCGCAGCGCGCGCGTCGGCACCGGGCGCCCCGGAAAGGAAACCGGAGGGGAGTGCCCGGCCCCGAACCCTCCTCCGCATCGGCCCGGGGCTCGCAGCCGCCCGCGGCGCCCCGCTCACCGCGCGGCAGCCCCCGACCCTATCCCCCGGGGCCCGCGTCCCCGGCCTGACCTTCTCTGGCGCGGCCCGTCCCCGGACCCCGGTCTCTTCCCTCCACCCGGCGCCTCCGCGCCCCTTCCATTGTCAGCCCGGAGCAGCCGGCGCCCGACCTGGGCACCCTCGGAGGCCCCCAGAGCGGCCCTGCCCGGGCTCTCTCGGCCCCTGCGCAGACCACCGCCCCCGGACTAACCCTCCTCTGCGGCCGGGCGCCTCCCTTCTCCCTCTCTGCGCCCCAACTCCGCATCCCCAGGAGCCCTCCGCTCCCTCGGGTCCAGCGTCGCCCGGGGCCGGCGGCTGGACCCCGCATCCCTCCTCCTCCCTCACTCGTCGCCCAAGATACCCCCCCCCCCCGGCTCCTCGCCGGCCCCAGGAATTTTACCGCTTCTTTAGCAACCCCCCCCCTTTATTTCCCGAGAAGGCAAGTTGGGCAGCTTGATTTATTAATTTTTCTTTTTCTTTTTTTTTTTTTGCGGGAAGGGTCGGCTCTCCGGGGAGCGCCCGCAGGGGTTGGGCAGCGGGGAGGGGCAGGGGGATTGCTCCGGCCCCTGCACTGCCCCCGCGGCGCGTTTTGTTTCCAGACCCCGAAGCCCCCTGAACAATAATGCCACCGCCATGGCGGGCTCACCTGGTGCTGCGCCGCCTGCTCCGGGCGCCCGGTGCCCTCCGCGCGCCGCTCCCCGGGCGCAGGTTCGGCCGGCGCGGCGCCGGTGCCGGGCAGGACTCTTTGCCTTTCTTTGGGTTCTATCTGTGCGTGTCAATGGCGGCAAGCGGCAGTTCTCCGGGCCGCGGATAGTAGCGGGGGGAGGAGGAGGAGGGAGAAGGGATTGCTCCTTCTCCACATAACCACCTCTAGGAGGAGTCGCTCAGCCTCATCCCCCGCCAGCCCAGGCTCCGCGACGGGTCCGGGGCTTTCGGTGGGGCTTGATGAGCTATTGTCCTTCATGAGCATCAATGATGAAACCGCGCGGCCCCCGCTTAGCTGGCGGATCCGCTGGATGTGCTGAGGGCCACTTGATACGATGAGGCTTCCCCCAGAGCTGGGGACTGAGGCGCTATGGTCTCGATCCAGAGTCTCCTGTTAGCGGGATCCACCTTTGGTGGAAGAAGGTGGCGTGGGTGTTCATCTGGTAGTTCCGGGGAGAGCCTTAGAAGGTGAAAGGGAAAAATGCCATTTTCCAATGTCTCATGTCCTTAAAGAATAATAAATACATTAACGATTGTGTCCATCACTGGGACGATAGCATTGGGTGGCCGCTGCCATGAGAACTAAGACTTTATATCCATGCCTGCCTTTTAGCTTTTTATAAATTAAGACAGAATCCAGTGTTGCATATTCTTTGGAGTAGCAGATGTATGTTTTCATGGGTAAGACTGTGTTCATGGATATAATTTTTAGTTCAGTTGCTTTTTACAGGGTGTTAATTTGTATTCTTGGTAGGTATTAAGACTAGCAAGAGGCTATTGTCTTAAAGACTAATTTCTATTAGTTTCTGGAAAAAAATATATTTATGGGGGTGTGGTGGACAATATCAGGTGTGAAAATGGAATTTATTGTAGTTCTGTTCTACTGGAAGCCGGTTCTGTCCTTTGTATTATGTTAGCTAGGGCTCCGTGGCTAGGGGGGTTGAGTCAAAGGAATTTGTTTATTTCAGTGGGAAAAGCTAACTTGCTATGGGCCATCCTTGTTTCCTCTGATCTCCTGCTCTTGGTAAGTCAAAGGATTGACAAAAGGAGTGGCAAATTTTGATGTCTTCACAAAAGAGAAACCCACAGGAAAACACAATTTTCCAACACTGGCCAAATGGATGCATTTCAAAGCCTCTTCCATTTGGCAATATTATATGTATTTGATCCTATAAATGTATAAATATTTAGGCAATCTTTCGGTGTAAAAGCCTCCAATAGACTTAAGTGGGAAGACCCCAAAAGTCCATTGCCCTCTGGATTTATACTAATTAATCAGGGCTGTTGATGGATTAGCACATTAGACCAAATGTGCTTCAGAGAGTTTTTTGAGCAATTGGTTTATTTCCCAAAAGATTATGATGTATCATAAAGGTATAAATAAACCTCTCTGTTTAAATCTCACATGGCTTCTCAAAGTCTCCTGGACCCAAATGGTCTCTTTTCATTGAAACTTCCTTCCTTCACCTTCTTACTCTTTTACACTCCCTGTATATGACCTCACTGTTCTTTGTCTTTGAAGGCACTTTCCAGGTCAGAAATCTAGTGAGGACAAAGTTCTCTTTTCCCAAGACATATGTTTAAAGACTTTAAAAATGATCCCCTGGGGCATCTCATAATGGTTTTGGTCTCCCCTTCCTAGAGGAAGCCCCTACCTCCCTCACTGTATAGATTTCTGATGCCTATACTGGATCAGAAATAACCTCCAGGCCAACATTTAAGACGGCTCAAGAGCCTTCTGGGAGTGCTTGAAAAATCCACCTATCCTGTGACGCAGGCAGCCAGGCTGACTGAGATAGAGCTGAATAATTCATCAATATATATTAGATTCACATTCTCCCTATAACTTCCCAGTAAAAATGTACGTATGGTCATTTTTATGTGTAGTTTATACAATTCATTTCATCGTAGCATTTTCTTATATGCTCTTCTGATAAAGGCTGAGTCTAAGAAATTTACTAGACAGAACTTTCCCCTTTCATACTAGTTGGTTCCTTCAAATAGATGATGTAGTTGAAATTCAGAGAATCAAGGGAATGTCAGTTTCATAATAGTCTGGTTCTCAGAAGAGATCCCAGAGTTCACTTGGTTAAACCCTTTATATGATAGGAAAAATCTAGTATTCAGGATGTAGAGGGGACAAAAATGTAACCTAATGTGCATATCTGGTTAAATTGTCTGTAATTTATTATTGAGCATTTAGAACATGAACAGGAATTTAGCACTGAGATAATATTGTATAGTTAAAATACATTTGAAATAGTCAACAGGATTATGAGTTCATCAATAATCTTGAGTTCTGCAATGGCCTCCCACACAGGGAGCCTCTGACAAGGTGAATAATAAATAATGATAGTAAGACCTTACACTTACTGAATGCTTATTGTGTGCATTGAGCTTTTCCATTACCAACTCATGTAATGTTGACAACAACTTTATGGGGTGGGTGTTGTTTTCTCCTTTTTACAGGTGTTGAAACAGGCAGTGAGCGGGAGAGAAACTTGCCCACAGTTACAACTGGGAAGTGGCAGCCTCATACTCTTTGTTTTGTTGTTGTTTAGTTGCTAAGTAGCCCACCAGGCTTATCTCTCCATGGGATTTCCCACGCAAGAATCCTGGAGTGGGTTGCCATTTCCTTATAAAGAGGATCTTCTCGACCCAGGGACTGAGCCCAGGTCTCCTGCACTGCAGGCATATTCTTTACCACTGAGCTACCAGGGAAGCTTTTGCTATAAGCAGAGCAATTTTGTGATTGGTCACAAGGTCGAAAGTCTCTTGGACCATTCCCAATCCATATCCTCAAGGAGTCAGTGAAAAGCATGATTATAGTACATTTGGTTGATTACTGTTGCAATGAAAATATTTTCTTAACCCTTGACCTGTATGTGTGCATGATTTTATGAATAAATGTATTGATTGTGAGTTGACTCCATTAGCGACGAAGGTCTCTCATAAACATTTTATTGAGATGCAGGATGAACTGTTTCTTCACTTAGAGACAGGCATGTCACATGATTTAGAGATGAAAGAAATGAATTATCCATGCTACCAGATTCATATTCTGTTGGGTCTGTTAGTAATTCATCCACAAAATCATCAATTTTAAAAATAAATTCAATTTGCCCACCCTTCAAGCCATTTTACTTTTTCTGTGATCCAAATGTTTGATGTTGTGTGAATTTAGTGGGTTTTTATTTTCCACAATTAGTTCTAATCTGGTTTATGACAGCTATTATAATTTGTGATTGTCTTATCCTTCCAAGATCTTGGGATGCAATTACCTTATTAATTTCCTGATCCTCACCTCTTCTAGAAGACTATATCATGTAGGTGTATGTTTTCATCTGACATATCTAAGTACATGAGTATGAGATTTCTATGTCCAGATTAATTTCATTTGAGAATTCTGATCTCCTTTGAAGTAACCTGAGATTCCCTGGGAGTGTCATAAAAACAGATGGAAATCATTGGTTTAAGCTCTTCTTTGAATGTAAGTTAGGCAGTTCTAGATGGTATATTAATTCCATCAAGGCACCAACTGGCCTAACTCTAAATAGCAACTTGAAGCCTGAGGTTATGAGTGCCCACAAAACATCAAGCTAAACAGTTCCCCACTATGCTAAGAAGTAAACACAGCTTCTAAATGTACCTTATAGCCTGGAAAATATTAGGCAATCTGATGTTAAAGTTTTTTATTAGAGAAATGCAGAGTCTTTCCTGTTGTTATATTTTGAATTGTAAACATGATTAATGTTAAACATTTATTTCCTTCATCAAAACTGGTGGCTTTAAAATCTTAATCATTTTGGGTAGTGAATAATATCCTTAAAGAGAGAACACATAGGCAATTATTGTGCCAGCAAAGTGCATTCTTGGTGTCTCTGGCTAAAATGAACATTGTCCCCTAACAAAAGAAACATTTTACTGGTGCTGGTTCTTAAAACAACAATAGAATATGTCCTTTTAGATACTATGTCCTGACCTTTTGGGCTTCCCAGTGGCACTAGTGGTAAAGAACTTGCCTGCCAAAGCAGGAGACGCAAGAGACTCGGGTTCGATCCCTGGGTGGGAAAGATTCCCTGGAGGTGATAACCCACTCCGGTATTCTTGCCTGGCGAATCCCACGGACAGAGGAACGTGGCAGGCTATGGTCCATAGGGTCACTTCAGACACAACTGAAGCGAGTTAGACACAACTAAGCCAATTAGAATGCACGCAGGACATTTTGGTTTGGAAGGGGGATGTACATGAGTGGGTGTGATGCATATCTATGTATATACATCCACATATGAACAAATAAATATTTGATGTGTATGTTACATACATGGACATTATAAGATGGGTAGTGACTGAGACTGCTGTAGGTTCAGAGTTAAGCCCAGCTTGGGACTTGTCTGGTGGTGCAGTGGATAGAAGTCTGCCTGCCAATGCAGGGGACACGAGTTCAATCCCTGGTCTGGGAAGATTCCACATGCTTTGGAGCAATGACGTGTGCCAGAGTTACTGAGCCAGCGCTTTAGGGCCTCTGAGCCACAACTACTGAGCCTGTGAGCCCACAGATACTGAAGCCCACATGCCTAGAGCCTGTGCTCCACAGGAGAAGCCACCACAGTGAGGAGCCCACACGTGGCAAAGAAGAGTGTGCCCCTGCTCACCAAAGCGAGAGAAAGCCAAGGGGAAAAAAAAAAGGCCTGATTTGGATTTTAAAGAAATCTACCAAATGTTTAGCATTTAACCAATGAGCTATGTTGTAAAGGAAAATGAAATGTTTCATGTTTCTAAGGGAAATACATTGTCAGCCCCAATTATGCAGAGTTGTAGTTAGGGAAATAAGGCACGTGATGTCATTAAATTGAAAGGAAACAGAACCTGGAGCTCACGGGAGTGTGCCAGTTGGTATCTTGCTCTGTTTGGTGCCGGAGCTCTCTGGGAGATCATCCCAGTACCCCCAGGCAGAACTCTTTGTGACAGTTGTGACGGGAAGTGGCAGCGTGCATCTAGAGACTTTGAACTTTAGCATCTGTGTTGGGAAATTGTGTGATGTGGCCTCACACCTCAATGAAATGGCTCTTTACAGTTCAGACCCATTCTAGAGAATGGGGGCATTGATTTTCCAAATGCACACAACCAGAATCCCATAGTAAAACTATAATTTATTT